ATCATGCAATTACCTTTCACTTGTCTCAGTTTTACACTGATAAGTACGAGACAAACTACATCTACAACGAATAAACATGAGAGGACTCGTGTTTTCAACTAGAACGAACAAGTCTATCGCTTATATAGGATGACGCGCCTAAGTGTATACCTGACTTGAAACTGACGATATAACTGAGGTTACACGTAGACTAACAGCTCAGTTTTTGCCTAGCCTGTGATTGAAAGGTATAGTAGCAAATGGGAACGTCTAAAGGGGTCCTCTGGTTGGTGAAAAAGCTCTACACTTACAAAGGCAAAACGACCTATTGAATATTGTATTTGAAGGAACACTGTCAAGATATATTTCCTTTAAACTGTTATAAATTCACGAAATGGCCCCTAAATTTAAGTAATAAGAACTTAATTAGCTCTAAGTAAATGATTAAAATCAATTTCGTGAAGAAAGTCCACAATGCAGCAACATTTTTGCAAAATTTCAACAATTTTCAGACTAAACTTGAACCTTTTAAAAACTGACATCCCGACCTTTTTTCAAAAATCCATATCGCAATCCGTTTCCATCCTCGCCATCGTTATCCATCCTGACTTCCTAATGGGTTTTAATTATTTGTCGAGTGCTGCTCTACAAAATAAAACCATTATTGTTCAGCTTCCAATGATCGACTGGATATGTTTTTGAGACTTTAAAAATCATACTAAAAATGGTGATAGTGTCCCTTTAATATCCCAACAAAATGACTCTTAATTTACTTGGAGCAAGGCTTAATAAAAGGTAAGTTGTCTTTGACTTTAGAACATAACTGAAACCAAGCTACAAACGCTCATAAGAGAAAGGGGACGAGAGGCGGTGTTGCCGCGACATTAACGCAAACTATGGTTATAATACTGACTGGAATTCTCCTCTGACTGTTTGGTTAATTTGAACACTAAAAGCGAAGTTTCTAACGGTAGATAACGAGATATAAAAAAACATGCACTACCGGAGACGAGAACTCCACGCTAAAAATCGTACTTGGGTTTGAATTTGGCTATATGAGCACTTCGATACATCAATCACTGTCCTTAAATCTACTGGTTTACTTCGAAGCTTTATTGTTCGATAAAGTTTAAATCGTCCACTGCTGTACACATGAGTATGAAGATTGGTCATCACTGTGAGAAATGCATGCGCACCCCTGCTTGAATCTTTCCAGTGGCACGTTTCTGTCACAGCCTGTCAAATTCAGTTTATAGCATTAGTTTTTGATATCTACACGTCATTAAATAAACGAAAAGACAGATATAAATATGCATATCACCCTTGCATATGTGCATGTGACATTAAACAAACCAAAAACATTTTCCTTGTTTCCATCGATTAATTTTTCAGTGGAATTCTACTGATATACTATAATACAATCTGATGGCTGGAGGTGGCGATCGTCCACATAATGACCGGCGACGCCCTTGTCAGCTATGTCTTGTGATAATTGTTACTAGAAACATGTAATCGTCCCACGGAGAGAGATCGCGAGGCGACTGTCCATTTATTTATCATGAATTTCACACCCACTTATGGACACACAGTACAGTATTTCTTTCTTCAGAACGCACCTTAAGAAATCCGGTCTTTAACACGCTCGACGATCTTCTTGGCAAGCTGCAAGGCTTGTTGAGCCATTTGGGCCGAGTAAACGTCGTTTGGAATCTGAGGAAAATGCATCCGATCTGGATAGCGCATGCGTGTTGAATCGCCAACAAGAACCTCCAACTGCCAAGCCAATTCGGTTAACTCTGAGTCATTCAAGCCGTTGCAATTCTGGACCAAGTTGTGGACACTAGTCTTGTCGGCGTCCATTGTGTACTGAGCGGCTTTCAGGGCTTTCTCCGCTGCCTACAAAAGCAGCATTCGCTTAGACTGAGCAAGTGTTAATTTGATAAGTTATGTTTTCAATTTTGATGAAAACGGTCGGGAAAGGGACAGTTATTTGAGCAACTGTAAGTACTCCAAGAGTAATTAAAATAGCACAAGCACATTTTTTTAAATAAGTATATGCTTGGAGAATTTCATGTAGCTGTACATTAATCTCCACATGCTGTCGTTATGGTGAAATATTGGATGCATCAGTCAACATATATGGCTTCAAAATGTGCTTCAAAATATGCATGTACAGAATGTTTCTCTTACCACCTGCACCTTGCTATCAAATTAGATTAAAGCTAGGGAAACACTTGTTAATCTTACCTGGTGGCATTTAAAACATGCCCACTC